CATTATGATTAACCCCTTCATCAATCCCAAAATCCCTAATTAAAACTACTCACAATTCATAATTGAAGAATCAATAGAAATGCGATGAAAAGAATTAATTGTCATTAATTAAAAAAGATGGAACTTACAAATAATCCCAGAGTCTTGAATAACAAAACGGAAAAATACATAAAATTACGTCCCTAGGCCTCTCTCTTAGCATCGTAACCTCAAATAAAACAGGGGTTTAGAGGCCTTATTTATAGAAAACGGGGAAATTCGGGTCAAATTAGGACTTTCTGGGGCAGGCACGGCCCTAGGCACGGCGTTCCTAGCCTCAATACCTGCGGAAGAGTCGCGTCTCGAAGCCAGGCATGGCGTGCCTCCCTGGTAGGCACGACCGTGCCTGAGTGGTAGTAGCTCCGACGTTGTTTCCTTCAGCGGGCATGGCGTGCCTGACTTCGGGCGCACATCGTGCCCACTTACCTTACTAATTTAACAATGATTCCCTCATGAAAGTTGTAGATAATGAAGTCTTCTATCCACCAAAACTTACAAAACTGGATTTGAATCATCCAATCAAAATATATTAATAAAATGGTGGAAGGTCGCATCCTAAAATCTCAACATCGATTATCTGACTTCCTCGACTGTTTTCTCCTTGCTCCTCTAAAATTCTCGCAATAGTGTCTGCATATGATTTGTATACATTGAAGTTGGCTTTCATATGAAACTTGAATCGTGTAGATTAGACGTTTCTACAAAAAGATATGTTTGAATGATTGACAAAAGGTCATCCTGAACGTCGTTTTCAAGCTCTATTCGTCTTCATTTGATCCCGTAGCCAATCCTAAAGGTCTTTTATCATCAAATCTTCATCGTGAACCTCTCGGTGACCTCTAAAACTCTCGAATCACTCTTGAATGCACATCAACTCAATCCGATTGCTTCTCAAGCGCCGGTGTCGGACTCTAATTTCCTGATTTTGACTCCAAACAACACAAATTAAACTCGAATACCAACGCCCGTTAAACATAACTTGAGCTAAAATTGAGACTTGTGACACCTTAAAGCTAGAAAAACCATCAAACGCCGATCCCAACACGCATCAAATGCGTGTTGAAATACGATCTTATCATTCCTCTTTGTACAACTTCTAAAAAATGTGGTATATAAAATATAAATACATAAAATTAGATTAATGAAATTTTCTTTATTTTTCACTGTCTTGTAAATGTATTTTGATTATTTTTATCAATAATATGGAGGAAAAGTTATCACAAATAAATTTATAAGACCATTATAAAATAAGGAGAGATACAAAGTATTCTATTAGCCCCTCTCGTTGGACATTGTCAACATTGTATAAAGAGAAAATTATCCAGCATAGGATCAAAACTCAAGCATCTTCCCAACTTAGCACCATATGTATGTTTTTCCTAAATAGAACAAACCTTACCTTTTTTACCCCTAATTCTATTTGATTAATTAATTGACCTAAATAATTGGCCTACTAGTTTCCTTGCACAACCAAGGGAGTCCGTCGGTGGTGGGACAGTCTGTGATGGCGGCACCACTGTGGCAGCGGGCGGCGGTGGCGGCGAACTCCGACGAAATGGATGTTTTCTGGCTACGGTGGTTGGGGCTACGGCGACCGGAGCTCCGGCGGTGCAGCCCCCGGCGGTCTGGCGGCAGGCAAAGGTCCAGGGGCAACAGGGGGGATACTTTGGTCCAATCACATACAAAAAGTCCTATTTAAGGATGTTTAAACTAATTGGCCCTATTTAGGGGAAAAATCCATGTTTTGCTTTTATTAAGGTAAATCTCCGAACCACAAATTATTTACTTTAAAGGGAAAGTGAATGTGATAAAAAAAATTGGACAAGCCAACAACAAAAGTTGGTAACGTCCAATGATAAGATTATTTATTCATTTTTGTTTTTTCATCTTTCTCTTATCTCGTTGTTGCATTGGTGATGTTTTTACCTTCCTCCAATTCGCTCATGGAATGAAGTAAGTTGAGAAAAGGATGACACCCATCCCTAAGGGCCCCCCAACACCGACCGGACAGCATGATGGGAAGATGTAAATTGGACTATAATCACAATCTGACAAATAGAGAGTGAGGCTCTGTCCCCGGTACTTGCAGAGGCTCTATACATTTTTCAGCATAGTAATCCCTCATCACAGTTGCGGGATTAGGAAGTCATGGGGGCAAAGGCCCCTGAGTCTCGAAAAACATTACTTGTACGTACCCATGCATGGAATAGGGATCCGATGATCCGAGCCTGCTTTAAAAACATTACTTGTACGCTCAAGAATAAAAGTGCACTAGTTATTTAAACCGAAAACCGAAATCCTTTTTTGGCAAGAAATATATATGTGATTCTTATCATTTCACTTTATTCTACTCAAATCTCAACCACAATTTTTACTTTTCAACCACTTTATTAATAATCGTGCCAAATCGAAAGTGGACAACTAATATGGGATGGAGGTAGTACAATTTTATGTCGAGCATTGGTTGAAATGAAGCACCTACTCTCGCCAAATTATATTTCACTATATTGAACTACTTTATTATGACTATGTTTACACCATTAGTCCTAAAATGAAGTTTCCATTTCAATTTATGATCCTATAATGAGTGTAAGTTAGTTCTTCCCTAACAATATTTAGAAGCTTCAAAGTAACATTGAAAAGCAAAATCGTATCAGCTATGAACACTAAAAATTGCAATATTGGCTCAAAATCATAATGGATGTCACATATTTTCATCACGATTTCGTGGTAATTCTTTTTACTGTGAGAAAATGATTTTCATCACGGATCATTGATAAATCTGTGTCAAAATCAGTGTCAAACATTTGATCAAGAAATTATTAGATCGAAGTCATGGAATAAAATCGTGGATGGTAAGATATGTTGTAGTCTTTTTTGGTAATTGAATGTGACAATAAATTGATACTACGTGTATAAAATTGAGAAAAACAATTAATTGTTCCTACTACTCCATACGAGTGTTCATTAAGCTCATATATTTAACTTTCATCAATTACACCCTCTTATTATGAAATTTTTGTTTAATTTGATTTTTGAAAGGTATCTGCTGACGGGGAACACATATGGCCTGGCACGCCATAGACGGGGTGGCCCACATCGCTTAGACGGGGTGGCCCACATCGCTTTTTTTTTTTCCGTTTCCTTTTGCTTTAATTTTCTCCTTTCCTTTCCCTATTCCCCGCTCTTCTTCTTTGTGCACAATCTCACACCCATTTCAAGAAGCCTCTTCACAAGTTCATTCTTCTTACCGTCACTTATTTTCATTCCCCCCCAAACGTTCTATCTCTCCCCTGCCCCCAATCCCACCCCCTCTTCCCATCACCTTCATTCAATTCTAACATTCTTCTTTTGTTTTTTTTCCTTTGCATCTAATTACCTTCCCCCCCAGCAAGTTTCGTCCCAAATTGCGGTGAAAGAGCAACCCAGTTTAGTTAATCAAAATCCCAATTTTTTCTTCCTCTAACTCCCAATTTCTTGACCTGCAACCTCTATGACTCCACATCCCTTTCCATTCTCCTGTCGTCCCTCCCCATCGTCTGCCTCTATAATATTGCCATATGAAAATTAGGTTGCTGAAATGTTCTGCTTTAACCTATACCGCTGTTTTGTCTCGTCGTAGACTCACTCGAAAGGAAGAATATAATGGAAGAATTGCAAGTATGCCGGGAAGAAGAGGGTCTATGAGGGAATGAGGAAGGACAAAAAGAAAGAAATGGGGAAAGGAAAATAAAAGTGACGTGGGGCGCCATGGGTAACCTGTTGATTGGAAGATTTTTACCTAAATACTCTTTTGACGAAAATTACATAGCAAGAGAGCTTAATATGAAGGTTGATGTTTGTGGGCTTATTATTGGATTAAAATTTTGTTCGAGGAAAATAGAGTAATCATGAATTGAATTCCATATTGTGACACCGGTTGTATTACGTTACATATCAAATTAGTAAATTTATTACAGGCAGTGGAGGACCTAAATAAAGGGGGCTAGGTGGGCCGTGGCGGATCTAGACATCGGAGGTTAGTGTATGCACATATCGCATGGATGAGAACGTATACATCGTGTGGCAGATCCAGAAGTTTTCTAAAGCAGTGACACTACCACATGGATGAGAACGGGTCGGGTCGGGTCGTATACATCTTTGGTCTATTTTGTCTAGTCCGTACAAATTATATTTTTAAACTACAAATAGAGTATTCAATTTTTTATCGATGATACATATTATCATCCCTGCAGACAATTAAATCATTTTATAATTAAAATTTACATATTTGAAAAATGCATAGTTCCATAAAGTCTCAAAGTTCAATTTATACTAAAATAAAAAATTGATTTGTTGGATAAGTAAATAAAATGGAACTATATTGATCAATAAAATTTGATTTTGCAAATTATTTTGGGAGAGGGAATAGGAAAATGACACTAGATGGTTTACATGCTTAACTAATACGAGTAATAACAATAAGAATAATTCTTTAATAACAATATGTCTTTAAGAAATGATGTACGGACTGAGTTCGGTGCCTTTGAAAACCTGGGTCGAACCAAGGGTGTAACCTTCGAAGGTCTCGAACACCCGATGTGAAGCCCATGAAGAGTTTTGAAATTATTGATGTTGCCAAGTAGGCTACTAATAATTATTGAGTTGAAGCCCGCCCCTATAGGTGGGGCACGTGCCCCGCTTCGAGCCCGGAATTTCACTAGTAATACTTAGGATAAAAACGGGTGCCCCACACTACAAGAAATGTTACATTTGGTGACACACATTTTTATTGACACATACAAAAGTGTCACAATAGCAATGTATATAATGACACTTTGTGTGACAAGAAAATATATTGGATTTTTTTTTATTGAAATCTAACTTTCATTACTAAACTACTAAACTAATTAAATAAGTACTTCGTACTTGTTTATAAAAATACGGAGTTTAAATTAGTTTTCCCGACACTTCGAAAAGTTAAATGACTGCTCAAATAGATTTATTGAATACTCCCTAAATAACAAATGAAATGTACGAGTGAGGATCTGGGCCATTAAACGAACATTTAAACATTTCAAAAACCAAAGTTCGATGGTCAGCCTTTGAATCCGGCCTCTTCATGTAAGGTTGGCCGTCCTTATGCAAAATCGCTAATCAGCTTTAGCGGCACCATGGCGCTCAACACAAACAAGAACATCCAGATTCCTCCATCCCCAATTGGAACTTAAGCGGATTCTCGAGGCATACAGTAATTTTTCCTCATCTAATCCCGCTTCTAATTCTCGATATCCATTAGATTAGTAATACTTTTCCTTTTTATGAATTGTTTAAATTTTATTGGATCTAATGTCCCCTGGAGTGATTTGTTTATTGCTCAATATTATACGGAGTATTGATTATTTATTATTTGATCGATGTTTGCTGGAGTTAATATCACTCCACTTTATATTGATCCAACATAATGAAATAGGCTTGTCACTTTTCATGAATTCCTACCCTAATGTGTTTATATTTTAAACATTTTATGCATAAATGATAAATCTATAATAGAGATCTGTGAGTTAAGACCAATTCTATTGCCCTGCAATTTCTAGGTTTATAAATTTAAATTAACACAATCAGATCATATTTATGTTTTATGTCTATACTTTTATAGAGAAAGTTAAAAATGACCGATTTCTATATTATATACTCTGCTGAACTTAGTGAGCCTGTTCTATCAATATTAACACTTCATAGTTTCTAAATTATGTTTTACTTCCTAATTGAACATTTCCCTCCTGAAGACTTGCGGTTTGTTGAAATTCAATGTTAAAATTAGATATTTCGAACTCTATTGTTTAAATCTGATAGAAGCTAGCGGTTTCAATCTAAACTTTTGTGTAGCTTTTCAGTTGTGGTGGTTTTTAAGATATATCTTTTGTGTTTATGATTAATGTGAATGGAATTATATGAACATGCCTCGTCTAGTTCGATATATATGTGTGTGTGTGTGTGTGTGTGTTTATTATGATTATTATCTATAACTTTGTTCAACTAATCCCCAACTTTAGAATTCTAAATTAATTCTTACTCACCCACACACTTGCATGTTGTTTATGTTGCTCTTCTATTTGTTCTATTTGAAAACAGGGATCTATTTGTCAAACTAATTTCATTATTGGGTGTCGTCTTAATTTGAAAAATGGTATACTCTTTGTCAACCTAGAGCCCTACAGTTTTAAATCTCAAAATCTTTGAAATATGTGTAGTAGATAAGTATAAAAAGTTAATCATATAGCAAACTTAAAACATTTATATAATTACACACGTGTTTGATCTTAAAAATGTGATTTATAGATCCTAAAAAAGATTTGGTACCTTTCACTTTGAATTTTTCTTAATTATTAAACTAACTAATTTAAATTGCATAAATCAGCAATGTCTTTGTGAGCAGCTTTCATAATACTGAAGGTAATCATTCTTATATTAATATATTCACCATTTCTCATATCCTTAAATTTTACATACTTAGTATCACATCATATCACTTACACGTTTACTCAATGGTTCTTTATTTTTTAGTTTAAGTATACCTTTAGAACCATGGTGGATAGATCTTGGATGTATTCTGCTCCAAGATCAAGCGAACAGTTCATAAATGGAGTGGAGAGCTTTATCAAATTTGCTTTTGACAGATCAAGTCAAGATGGAAAAATTGTATGCCCGTGTAGGAAGTGTTACAATATGTTCTATCATACTAGAGGGGGAGTCTTTGATCATTTAATATGTAATGGATTCAGAAATGAATACACAACATGGGTAGATCATGGAGAACATCAAACATCATCATGTTCAAGGTCTGTGCCTAATAATGTAGCAGAGACTTTTAGGCTGGACACACATGGACTATTAAATGATTTATTTCCAGTGGCCCATGAAGAAGGAAGTACACCTAATATGGAGGAGTGTGAATCGAGCACAGGTTTGGGTAACTTCAGTGATCCAGAGAGCTTCGATGCTAGAAGTGACAAGTTTTTTGACCTCTTAAAGGAGTCTGAAAGGAAGGTATATCCAAATTCAAAGTATAGCAAGCTTTCTTGTTTGGTACATTTGTTCCATTTAAAGTGCTTGAATGGTTGGAGCAATAAGTCATTCACTATGTTACTGGAGTTCTTACAAGATTTGTTGCCAGATCCAAATTTGTTGCCCAAAACAACGTATCAAGTCAAAAAGCTACTTGGAGACCTAGGTTTAGGCTACGAAAAGATCCACGCATGCCCAAACGATTGTATGTTGTTCTGGAATGATACAAAGGAAGAAAATGAATGTTCAATTTGTGGACAATCAAGATGGCGTGCTTCCACAGATTATACGGGTGAGATAGTAAACGCCCAAAATAAGAAGGCAGCAAAGATCTTGCGTTGGTTTCCTTTGATACCAAGGCTTCAAAGATTGTTTATGTCTTCAAAGACATCTAACCTTACAAAATGGCATCATAATGAACGCATAAATGATGGAAAATTGCGACATCCAGCTGATGGTGCAGCATGGAAGGATTTTAACAAGAATTATCCTGAGTTTTCAAGTGATCCACGCAACATTCGGTTAGCCCTTTCAAGTGATGGTTTTAATCCTTTCAAGACAATGAATCTTAAATACAGTATTTGGCCAGTTTTTTTAATTCCTTGTAATTTACCTCCGTGGCTGGTCATGAAACAACCTAACTTCATTCTTTCTTTAATTATTCCTGGACCCAAAGGCCCCGGGAACAAGATTGATGTCTATATGCAGCCGTTGTTGAAAGAGTTAAAAGAGTTGTGGGAGGATGGAATTGAGACTTTTGATGTGAGTACTAAAGATAAGTTTCGGTTGAGAGCAGCATTACTTTACACAATTTCTGACTTTCCTGGATATGCAAACCTTTCTGGATGGAGTACCAAGGGAGAATTTGCATGTCCTATATGTGGATTTGGTACTGCTTCAAAATGGCTTCAATTTGGAAGAAAGTTTTGTTATATGTGTCATAGGAGATGGCTTCCATCTAACCATAGGTGGCGGTTTGAGACTCAAGCTTTTAATGGAGAGCAAGAGCTACGGGTCGCACCTGCACCTATTTCCGGGCATTCAGCTTTACAACAACTAGAAGGGATTGAGTTTCTGACTGATAATGTCAATAATGGTCCATGGAAAAAGAAAAGCATTTTCTTTATGTTGCCTTACTGGAAACATTTATTGTTACGTCATAATCTTGACTTCATGCACATAGAAAAAAATGTGTGCGAGAATATTTTTGGAACTTTGTTGGGACAGGGTAAAAAGTCTAAAGACAATTACAAAGCAAGATTGGACTTACAAAAAATGGGTATAAAAAAAGAACTTCACCCGAAAAAGCGTCCAGTGAGCAATATAACGTACTTGCCTCGAGCATGCTACCAAATGACTCGGTCAGAAAAGGAAGCTTTCTTGAAAACCCTTATGTATATCAAACCACCTGATGAATTTTCTTCCAACATCTCTCGTTGTGTGAATTTGAAGGACAAAAAACTTTTAGGGCTAAGAAGTTATGATTGTCACATATTGATGCAAGAATATCTACCTATTGCCCTTAGAGGGACATTGCCAGACAATGTTTCATCAATTATCATTGAACTGTGTGATTTTTTTAAGGCAATTTGTTGTAAGGACTTGTCTGAACATGACACCCAGTTTCTTGAAGTGAAGGTTACACTAACCTTATGCAAAATGGAGAAAATATTTCCTCCTTCTTTCTTTACTATTATGGTGCACTTGGTGGTTCATTTGATTGAAGAATTGAGGATGGGAGGTCCACTAACTTTTAGGTGGATGTATTCTATTGAAAGGTAATTGATTTTAAAACAAATTTCATTTATCTTAAATATTAACTGTATTTGTTCTTAGATAAACTGACATATCTTACTTTATCAATATTTGTTCAGGGAACTTCTCACACTGAAGTCATATGTTCATAATAGGGCTTATCCAGAAGGTTCAATCGCTGAAGGTTATTTAGCTATGGAAAGTTTAACATTTGTCTCTCGCTATCTCTCTGGTGTTGAGACATTATTTACTCGGCCCGTGAGAAATGATGATGAGGGTGAGCAAAATGAAATTGAAGAGTTAAACTCACTATGTCCTGGGCGTCCATTAAGAGCAGAGATTGTAATGTATCTTTTCGGAAGAGAAAGAGAGTATCTCGTCGTGTGCTTGACGAGAAGTTGCTGATACAAGCACATCGTTATGTCTTATTTAATGTCGAGTCAGTCATGCCATTTAGAGAGTAAGTGAACCATTTTTCTTTATATAATTCTTTTTCCCAGTTTTGAACTCTTTCCTGACATGTTTATCACTAATACTAATTTATTTAAGGGAACATAAATCAATCGTTAAGAATAGAAACCGTTCACGGCGACGACCTGAATATGAGATTGAAAGACTTCATTGCCAAGAATTTAATGAATGGTTCCAAAAAAGGGTAATTTTTATTATATTATGTTATTGTGTGATACATTATTTTAATCATATACTTTATGTTATGACATTGAGCATTATTGATGCAGGTATCTCATTTAGTAGAAGAAGGTGATGCAAGAGTGAGTGAGGAAATTAAATGGCTTGCTCTTGGGCCCCACACCTCTGTAAAGACATATTCTGGTTATTTTGTTAAAGGGTATCGGTTCCATACAAAGGATCATGAGAAATTCTTGAAAACACAAAACAGTGGTGTTGTTGTAACGGTAAAGGGTGAATGTTATGCTAGCTCCCGTGATAGACAACCAATTCTTGGTATAATCAACTATTATGGCTCACTGAAAGATATAATTGAGTTGAACTATTCTGGTAAACTACGAGTAGTTTTGTTCAGATGTGATTGGGTTGATGTGAACAGAGGTGTGAAGCGAGATGATATGGGTGCAACATTGGTTAACTTTTCGTATTTGGCACACACAGGAACAAATTTGCTTGATGATCCCTTTGTTCTAGCCTCACAAGTTGAGAAAGTCTTCTATGCTAGAGATTGCAAGTCTAAGGATTGGTTGGTTGTTAGGCATGTCAAAGTTAGGAATATGTTTCAAATGGGAAATAATGCTGATCATAGTATACATACGTCAAATGATGCAATATTTGATGTACCATACTTGCACAGAGTTGGAGTTGATGATGATAATGGAGTTGATGTCACTCCAATGATGGAACAAGAAGTTATGCATGATGAAGATGATGAAGATGATGAAGATGACGAAGCTAGCATTGCTATTACTTAAATTGATATAGTTTATTTTGTCGATATAGTTCTTATTAATTAAGTTTATGTTGTTCTGTACTGGATGTTTACTGACAGTGCTTTAACAACTATCTAATTCATAATATCTTATAGTTATTTGTTCATGGTTTGTGTGTATCTTCTCCTATTACAATAATCATTTCACATATTGTGTGTTTGTTATACCACTATATTATTTGCAGGTTTGCAATTGAATACCCTTTGGCACAAGGTGTGCTTAGTACACCTTTATATTCTACTTATTTATAATCTTTTATGTTTTGCAGGTTTTGATTGAAGAACATTTATCTATTCGTCACATTGAGGTTAGTTTACACATAACTTTTTTATTGGTTGTTTATTTATTATTAAATGTTTTAAAACTAATTTTAGTATTTTGTTGAAGTAACAATGGCAAAGCGCAAGAGGTTGAACATTGTCTCAACCAATAACTACTCAACAATGCCACAATCTGAGAGAACTGGAGAGTCAGATTCAAGTCAACACCGCGAGCAGCAACAAAATATTGAAACAGAATATTCAGATCCTCAACCATCTATTTCAGCCAATACAAGCAGTTCACAACCACAACCATCAGGTGATTAATATATATCTATTTCTTTGAACTAGAATATGCTATTAACATGTGATTTGGTGTTTATGGTCTATAAAAGGCGTTTCAAAAAAAGTTCGAGGTCCAACCAAAAAGCTTAGCATTTGGGAGCTAAAAAGTGACACAAGGATAGCAGTTACTTTTAATGAGAAGGTGCAGCCAATAGGAGAAGGAAAAGAATTGACACAGTTCTTAGGCACCCTTGTGAAAATGCCAAGTCATGTTGGAATAAATTTTGATGATTGGAGAGATGTTGCACATACAACTAAGGAAACTTTATGGAGTATTGTGAAGGTATTTGGCATACTTTTCTTCATATATATTTTTTAACCTAAACTGCTTCTTATGTTGTGTTGATGTTTGTAGGAAAAATTCAAATTTCTACCGGCTGAAACTTTGGATGTGAAGAAATGGGTGATTGCAAATCTGGGATCAAAGTGGAAGTCTTGGAAAAATACCTTGAGATCAAAAAATTATGATCCAGTCCTAACTATTGATGAAATGGTACAAAAAGAGAAAGATATGAGGGTAAATAAATCTCAATTTACAGAACTTGTTAAGACTTGGATGAATCCAGAGTTTCAGGTGATTTATTGTTGGCTTCCTTATATTGTTAATACAATGGAACAAAATGCTTATTAATTATTTATATCTATTATTTTGATGACATTTTAATTTTTATTTGTATTATTTGAATCTATAGGCAATGTCTGAAATAAAGAAAGAGAGTCGATCAAAGAATCAAGAGCCACACACTACTGGCTCAAAGTCTTTTGCTAGACTTGCTGAAGAAGAGGTGATTGCAGCTAACTTTTTAAAGTTTTTTGAGATGTTTATTATCATTTTGTTGTTTAAAAAAGCAGTGCTTTGTTTATGTACACTAAGGATCATTTATAATTAAATCAAAATGAAATTTAATCGTTGCAGGCTATGACAAATAATGGTGTCCTCCCAACACGCGGGAAACTATACATTAAAACTCGAACTCGAAAAGATGGCACTATTGTCAATTCTGCAGCAACTGCAGTTGTGGTACTATGCTTTAATCTTTTAGTTCCTCATTTTCTCTTGGGTGGACTGTTTGTTTATATCTAATTTTTAACAGTTTAAACTTTGTTTACATTTTACATATATTATGATCGGTTGAGGGTATGACTTTGGAGAGAGCAAAATGGAGGGCGGGTATTCGTGTTGAGGAGTGATCTTGTATCATCTTTTTTTTTTCTTTTTCTTTTATATCTTTATCCTTATATATAAATATTACTTTACCCTTTTTATTTGATCTTTTATATGTATATTCATCTCTTTTATATTATTTTTTTTTTATAATAGCTTATCTTTTTTATCTTTATTTTCTTTCTTTTCCTTTTGGTGATAATGTGATATCATATATCGATTCATGTTAGCCGACCCCATTATCGTTTGGGACTAAGGCTTGGATGTTGTTGTTGTTGTTGTATGATCGGTCATTTAGATTTTAGGAAGTAGGATTCTGAAAATATACACGGTTACGTACTTACGTTCTTTTGTTAAATGTTCAATGGACTCTTAAAGCATACATGAAGGCTTTCAACTCTAAACGTGCCGCTTAAATTAAGAAACAAAGTCTAAAGGTTGTTTTTTTTTGTAGTTTTGTTTTTGTTTTTGTTTTTGTGTGGGTGTTAGGAGTTCAATTACCTTTGCAGGAGGATAAACTTTCCATGATGGGTAACTAAGTTTAGATTACTAGTTTCTCTTTTGAGCTGACCTTTTATTCTTTTCATATAATGTTTTAGTTTGCTCAAGCCTTGAGCCAATGGAGTAAACTTTCCCATGATGGGTAAATGTTGATGACTGTTATAGCATACATGAAGGCTTTCAGCTTCAAAATTGCAGTTTAACTTAAGAGAGTCTAAAATTCTTTTTTTTCACTTTTGCTTTTGTTGCTGGAGGGTAAATTTTCCAATGATGGGAAACTAAATTTAGATTTGAACCCTTTTATTTCGGATAATGGTTGAGATTTGGGTAATTTTATTTGGACCAACACCATGTTTCAAAGACATGATTATTGATATTATATGAATCTTAAATTGACTGATACCTTCAGGAATCTCTTCATCATGTGATGAATGAGGATGTGGAGACTCAAGATTCTGAAGAGACTACTGATTGGAGAAACGATGACTTGGCCAAGGTTAAGGGACCTGAAAAAAGAGGGCGCATTCGTTGTGTAGGATTTACAATCGTAAAGGATAAACAAACTTCATCCTCTCAACAATCGCAAATTCCTATTCAAGACCCACAAGTGCCTATCCTTCAAGCGCAAGTTTCTTCACTTTCAAGAAAAGTTGATATTCTGTTGGGTGCTTTCAAACACAACATGACTTCTAGCCAACTTTGTGCAATTCTCAACAGCTTGAATAATGAGGTAATATATGCAATAAGTGAATATGCAATTAGTGAATTAAATTTATAAAATTAGACTAGTTTTCTGTGTGTGATATGAAGAGACTAGTTTTCTGTGTGGCACGTTAATCAATCTTGCTTGTTACTTGTTTTAGTTCGACTAAAAACCTTAAGGAGGAGAGCACATGCTTATCATTCTATGCACAAGTGTGTAATACTGTTGTTCTCTCGTATTTGTATATTGAAAATTATCTATTGAAACTTGAGTACTTCTCTATTGAAACTTGAGTGTGTGTTGCTATAAATAAGTTTCATTCTTTTTATTTCATTCTTTTTGCGACCGAGTACATTAAAAAGAAAGCTTGCAATCATTATATAACTTGTGAATATTTGTTGATTTCTGAGCTTGTGAAGTAGCTGGAAAAAAACTGCACTTTTGGCTCTCTAATGAATTTCTAGTGTATTTTCTTTTATTGCTAGCTCTGTCATGTTTTTTTTGTGTTAGTAGCTTCTAATATGCAGTCCTGAGTTTGTAATTATCTATACCATACACCTCTAAAGTAGTTATATATGCAATTATTAGTACAAACTTATGATCCTATTTATTTATACCAGTCTTGTTTATTAATTTCTACCCATGATTAAACTATGTTATTTTCCAGGCTGTTAATGAACCAACACCTACAAATGAGCCATCATCAACTGGAAGTCATCAGACTTAAGAAGTTATTTGGAGATCAAGCTTATAGACATATAGTTGGTTTTATTGGCAATTTCAATTTGTAACAATTGTGAGCTTTAAGTTTTTTTTTTTTTGGACTTCTATGGTGTAAATTTAAGTATGAAAGGAGTGTCTAGTTTTTGGAAAGAACTTTTGTTCTATGGTACATGTAAGTTCTACTTTTTCATGTTTTGAATTGTAACTCTTACTTCATTGAAGTTTTTCAAATATTTTAAAGTTAGATGCAAGTTTCTCTATGGAAGTAGTATTTAGTATCCCACGTTTTTATAACTAATATAATCATGCTATAAAATACTCCGTAATAAATTACAATAAAATTATTATGGCTTCAAATAAATCAACATGGTTTTTCTTGACAGTTATGTGTCATCTTTAATCTTTCATGACTCACAAAATTTGTTAGGTCATTAAGGAAATCCTTGACACATTTACGTGTCAACAAAAGTGCAAAGAGATTTGCCAACACATGTATGTTTGTGTCAAGAAAGGTTTTTCCTAACACGGTTCCTAGTGACACTTTCTATATGTGTTGGAAAAGCCTACAGCGGTTTATCGTGACACTTTTTTTGTTTTTCTTGACACTTTTTGTGTGTCAAGAAATGTCACTTTTCTTGTAGTGCCAGTTTCATACCATTATTTGATAATTAAGATACTAAAATATTACGGTTATACATATAAATAAAAAATTAATACAAAACATTTAAATTTTAGCTGAATTAAAATAAAAGATATAGAATTATAAAAAACAAAAAAATAATTAAGAATTGAAAACAAAAAGTAACAAAAAAAGTTAAAATGCAAAAAAATAGCCAATTTGAGTGCAACTAAAACTACGGAGTAATAAAAGTCTAAAAACCCACTAACATTTGGAAGACTAGAATGATAAAAATCACGCGGACGGTTTACGAATTACGACTTTAGGGGATGTCACAACCTTGGCTCTGGCCTCTGGGGATTTCGCTGTCTAGCTGAAATGATGCTGCATCGCCGCACGCCCGCACCGCTCAATCCTCCCATATTTCCTGGATTTGTAAGTTTGTTTTCAATTTATTCTGCATTGATGGCACCTGCTTTTTAGTTGGGGGATTATTTTAAAAATTAAAATTGTTGATAATCAAGACAGATCTTCGCAATAAGATGAGAGATGATTATCTTACGAATTGATTGGTGTGCTACATCGAGAGAGATGTTTTTAGAAGCATCGATAATGAAACTATTATGCATCATTTTCAGAATATGAAAACTCGTAGGCTTGATTTACCAAAGTTACAGCACTGAACTATTTAATATGTAATTAACTATTCAGTATAATTTAATACATTTTTTACCATCTTTACACGAGTATAGCATATCGAACTACTCCGTAGTAAATTTTTAGACAGAACCTTAATTCTTGATCGAAACTCGGACGATTACTCTTTATAGATAAAAACATTATCGGAATTCTAATCAGGAATTAGAAAATATATATTTAAGGAAAATTTGATTCTTGTACGTTTATACGTGGGGCAATATGAGAGAGTTATAATCTTGAGGGTGATTTACCGAAACACGGGAAAAGGGGGTTGGGGTTGCCAAAAAACGGGGATTTTCCTAGGTTTTACCAAAAAATGCATGTCGGATTACCCAGTTCCGACCAGAGATTAAGGTTTCGAAAAACTCGCCAACTCTTTAGTCGGATTTGCCAATTCCGACTAGAGTTTTTTTATTTTTTTTTTTGCCGAATTTCTAAACTTTTGGTTTTGAGTTGTAAAAACTATAAGTTTTAGGGCTAAATTCTACCCATTCCAAATTTAAAAGTTTTTTTAGATTCGTGCATTATTTTTTAAAATGAAAACTTAGCATTTTGATTTTTTTAGTAACAAAACAATTGATTGTTTTATATTCTTTTTTAATCCATTTGTATTGTGAATTTTGTTTTAATTGCAATTTTGTAATTTTAAGTGCAATTTTGATTTACTCCATTCGTCAAATTAGATAAAAATTTGATTTTGATTTCAGTGAATTTTTTTTTGTAATTTAAATAAGAAAACTACAAAACAAATGTAGTTTTCAATGTAATTTATTAATGAATAGAGAGTACATACAATATTAAATTTAATACAACATCTAACGTTGCGTGCTCGGCCCTGCTCCGTCCCCACCGCCAGTGTTCCAAGGCCCCGTTGTGTCTCCAATTTTTTTTCTTTTTCAAAAGATTATGTGGTGGAAAATTATTGTTTTATAGTGAATTTTTGTGATATTTCGCAGCAGCAACACTTGTTACATTTCATAACGCAATGTATTGCTAGAAATGTATTACTCCATACATTTTATGTTTAATTATGTACTAATATGAAATAATATCTAAATTTGAACATGTAGAGTGATTTTATTATTTGGTACTGTGCTCACGGATACGATGGCAATTCTCTCTGACCACGACCAACTGTCAGCATTCTCACTCTCAACAACACCATATGCAAGAGGAAATATCTCACGGTTAACGTTCATGGCTACCGCAACTAGAAGAACCCCGTTGTATTTGCCATATAAGTGAGTGCCATCCACCGAGACTACGGGTAAGCAAAACCTGAAACCGTCTATAGAAGCTTTGAATGACCAGAACACTCGGCGGAATTCGGACGTATCAGGAGTGATTTCACTCGCTATGAGCTTGGCTGTTAGGATCTTATCATCCCGAGCCGTGACAGGAACCTCCCTACAACTGTGATGGGGTTGATATTTTTTTACTTTCCACTTTGTTGAAGTCATAGCTGCTGCTGCTTGGATATGCCAAGCGCAAATGGTCGGGTTTATGCAAACCGCCTTCCAGGACCGTGCCCTTTTGTCAACCGATTGAAATTGACGAAATTGACGAATGTTTTCTCTCGCCACCACTTCTTTGAGTGCATCATATGACGGGTAAACTGCGCCGACTTCGATCCTTTCAGGCTCAGAATCTAGCTCATATGGTTCTTCTAGCTCTACATTGGCCCAGGTGGTGTCTACTTCATCGTCTGCATCATCCCTTGTGGATGAATCCACCTCACCACAAAAACTTTGTTCATAATCTGGGTCGTCCGACTCTTCACCTGAGTCTGCATGAATTCATATGACTTAATGGGTTAGATTTTGTTTAAAGGCGTTATATTAGATAAAATATAATGTGAGTTTATCTAATTGAATGAGTTAAAAATTACTAAAATAAAAACTTGTAAAAAAAATAATTTTTTTCTCGAATATAAAATTTCTTAAAATAACAATGTAAAAATATAACTATATAAAATTTAAATTATATAGTTTGTTAAAATAAAAAAAATAGGCAGCAGGAAGATTTTTTAATTATAAAATAGTTTTTTAAATTAAACACCCCCTAGTCGGATTCTCCAATTCCGACTAGGTAGTTGATTTTTTTTTTAATTAGAGTCCGATTAATTAAAGGTAAGAATCCAATTTTTTTTAAAAAAAATACCCTAGTCGGATTTCCCAATTCCGACTAGGTAGTTGATTTTTTTTAGATTAAAGTCCGATTAATTAAAGGAAAGAATCCATTTTTTTTAAAAAAAATACCCTAGTCGGATTCCCCAATTCCGACTAGGTAGTTGATTTTTTTTTTAAATTAAAGTCTGACTAATTAAAGGAAAGAATCCAATTTTTTTAAAAAAAAATACCCTAGTCGGATTGCCCAATTCCGACTAGGTAGTTGGTTTTTTTAAAAAAATTAGATTCCGATTTAAGAATTGAAAGAGTGCAATTTTTTTAAAAAAAAAAATACCCCGACTAGGTAGTGGGATTTTTTTTAAAAAAAAATACTCTAGTCGGATTCCCCGATTCCGACTAGGTAGTTTGGATTTTTTCGAACCCCTAATCTCCAGTCGGAATTCGGGAATCCGACTAACGTTTTTTGGTAACCTAAACACAAGTCCCGTCTTTTGGCATGTCAAACTCAAAACTCCCGCTTTTTGGTAATTCTTTCTAATCTTGATTCATTTTTTCTTTAAAAGAAGGCGAATTATAATAGATGGCAAAATAGCGGTTAGCGGATGGTGTTAGCGGATTTGACCGGCGGATAAATTTGACGGATTGTAAAAAATGTTTGGTAGTTTAGTTGTTTACTAACTTTACTTTTAGCGGTTAATAAATAAAAAGACAAAAAAGGACATTAATACATTTTAGTGTATGTCTCATTGTTGTTTAATATTCTCGTATGATGTTATAAATAAAATTATTACAAATATATGTGTGTGTGTGTGAGTGAGAGTCAATTAATAATTTAAAAAATAACTGAATAAAAATAGTGTAATGAGTAAAAAAAACTCCGTATAATCAATGGATTACTGGACAACTTGGCCGGATGTTTTTTCTCATGATTATATTTCTTGTCGCTTAGGAAAATCACAACGATTACCTTTTCAAGAAGTTTGACATAAATCTAACGTTCCTTTATTTTTAATACATTCGGATGTTTGGCAATCTCCTGTTTTGTCTGCAAGTGGCTTTAAATATTATGTTTTATTTATTGATGATTTTTCCCGTTTTACTTGGCTTTATCCTATGCGTCGTAAGAGTGAAGTTGTGAGCCATTTTTGAAATTTTAAATTAATAGTGGAAATTTTATTCAACACTAAAATTAAAATTTTTCAAAGTGATGGAGGGGGTGAGTTTGATAATCATGGTATGCGTGAAATTTTTCTTGACAATGACATTTTGTATCGGAAATCTTGTCCTAACACTCCTGAACAAAATGGCATCGCTGAACGAAAACATAAGCATCTACTTGAACTAACTCGTATTATGCTTCTTGAGGCAAAAATGCCCGCTAGTTTTTGTGTAGATGCTGTGTTTACCGTTACTTATATTGTCAATCGTCTCCCCACTCTGAATCCGAATGGTGCTTCTCCGTTTGAAAAATTGTTTCACCACTCTCCTGACTTCTCTTTTATGCGCGTATTTGGTTGTGCCTGTTTTCCCAACTTTATTGCCACTTCAACAAATAAATTATCTCCGAGATCTGTTTTGTGTGTCTTTTTGGGATATGCCCCTGAGTACAAATGTTATCGTTGCTTAGATCCTATTAGTGGCAAGATTTACGTCAATATGAATGTTCGGTTTTATGAAGATATTTTTCCATATTCCGGTCTGATTTCCTCCTCAAAAACTGCTGCACTACCACAAGTGTCACCAACTAACATTGTTTAGCTTCATGAGAGCATTTTTCCAGCCTCCTTTACCCGCACCCACCACTTTGGCAGAACCTCCAGCCACCTGTAATCCCTCCGGTTCCCTTCATCTGATAGTCTTGCCCCCAGCCAACCCACATCTTTTCCAAACAGAGGCACCCTCTGACCCTGAACTCACCCTCCACACTCCCAGTCGGCCACAGTCCCCTGCGACCCCGATCTCCTCTGCCATTTGCCCGTCCCCTTCCACGATCACCACACCACCATCTGCTCCAGCCGTGACCGATAGCACCCCCCCCTTCACCACCGGCACCTTCCCCGACCGCATCTTCCCCGGTCAATTATCATCCCATGCAAACTAGAGCGAAATCTGGCATTTTTAAACCAAAAACCATTTTTAATCTCAAAACAAATATTTCGGCATGTGATCCATCTTGTTTTTCAATGGCTAATAAGGATGTTAAGTGGAGAGAGGCTATGGCGAAGGAATTTAATGCACTCATTGATAATCATACTTGGGATTTAGTACCATTTGATCCTCGTAAAAATGTGGTCGGGTCTAAATGGATTTATAAAATTAAGTTTAATTCTGATGGGTCTGTTGAGAGGTATAAGGCTCGTCTAATAGCTCAAGGATTTACTCAACAAGCTGGTGTGGATTTTTCTAAGACCTTTAGTCGTGTTGTTAAGCTCATTACTGTTCGTATTGTTTTATCTCTTGCTGTTTCGTTTAATTGGGCTATTCGTCAGTTAGATGTAAAAAATGCATTTTTACATGGCAATCTGACTGAATAAGTGTATATGCGTCAGCCTCCTGGTTTTATCCATCCACAATTTCCTAATCATGTTTGTCGTCTTCGCAAAGCTATTTATGGCCTTGAACAGGCTCCTCGTGCCTGGTTTTACAGATTTAGTTGTTTTTTTGCTGACGCATGGTTTTGTTTGTAGTAAGTCTGATAATTCTTTGTTTATATATCGACATGGCTCCTCAGTTATTTATCTTCTCTTATATGTCAATGATATTATTGTTACTGATAATTCTCCATCCTTTATTTCCATATTTATTTCCTGTCTTGGCCGCTGCTTTGCTATGAAGGATTTGGGGGATTTACATTTTTTCTTAGGTGTCCAAGCTGTTCGAGTGTCGTCTAGCTTATTTTTATCTCAGCAAAAATATGTGTCCGATCTTCTCACCAGATTTCATCTTCACACTCTTAAGCCTGTTCGAACCCCTCTTGCTACGCGAATTAAACTTTCTCTCACTAATGGGGATCTCCTAGTCTCCTAGCAGATACGTCTGAGTATAGAAGTATGGTAGGTGCTTTACAATATTTAACTATGACTAGACCTGATATTACATTTGTTGTTCACTTGCTTTCCCAGTTTATGCATGCACCTCGTACACCTCATCTTTTGGTTGTTTCAGGTATTTGCAAGGGTCTATTTCGCATGGATTACTGCTTCGGCCGAGCACAACATCTCTTACCATACAGGCTTACTCGGGTGCTGATTGGGCAGGATGTACTGATAGCAGTCGGTCCACCTCTGGCTTTATTATTTTTCTGGGTCCTAATCTGATTTCCTGGAAGGCCAAGAAGCAGCCTACTGTGTCTAGCTCGTTCTTCTACAGAGGCTGAGTATAGGGCTATTGCTTACACTGTTCAGGATACTCTGCATATACGCTCCATTTTGTTTGAGTTGGACTTTCCTGTTCGTGCACCGGTCACACTCATGTGTGATAATATATCTGCATCTTATTTATCAGCAAATCCTATTCAGCATGTCCGCTGTAAGCATATCAGCATTGATTATCATTTTGTTCGTGAGAGAGTTTCTCATGGAGATCTTGTTGTCCGTCATATTCCTACATAGTTTCAGCTCGCGGATATTCTTACCAAGATTTTACTCCGCAACGTTTTATTTTTCTTAGAGACAATTTGTGCATTATTTCCCCTGGACAGCTTGAGGGGGTGTAATAGTGTAATTAATACTTTAATTAGGTTTCCATATTTATTTAGTTTTCTAATGTACTCAGAACTTCTATTATTATATATGTAGTATATGACACCTAGGCTACCACACTGGGTATGTCTTTCTATTATTTTCACAAATAGTTAAAAAAGTTCAAAATTTTGAAAATAAGATAATCATGTTTTTATTCGTAAAATATGAGTAATTATTGTCAAGATTACAAAATATTGTCATGTTCAAATTTATCAATTAATTTAACACACTGAATTGAAGAAGACAATTTGTAACTATTGCCCATATATGTTTTCCTTAACCTTGTGCAAAAGTTCCAAAATAAGACAAACGATTTAAAATTGCAAAAACTATGACTTTTTTATTTTCAAAATAAGAGCAACTACTGTCAGGTATGACAGTACTATCAAAACATTATAATAATGACTCGTACTTCTATTTACAGAATAAAAAAATAACAACCAAAATATTATTTTAGTCCTACTTATGGCAATATAAAGATGATATCGAGTCTTTGTATTAGAATTGTGTAGATAAGTTTAAGAGAATCTCATAAGCTCGTAATCTTATTAGAAAGAGACCGAAAGGTCGTGTTTCCCCCAAGTGACCGGCCAATTTGAAGTACCAATTTGTGTAGTGTATGTGCCTAAGTCATCCCAAAGTGACCGGCCATTTTTTGTTTTGGGTCATGGATGATCACAAGATTCCGGTTCAGTAGTCTTTGAATCATCTTCTTCATCTTGGATAAGTAGCATTTCGTCTCGAATATCAGTCTCCTTATTGGCATCCATATTAGGTACCACTCTCTGCTTCATCTCCGACGCAACCTCCTCTATGGCCTGCCACGCCTCCTGCGCCGTCTCTGTCGCTCTATCTTTCCTTTCCTGCTCGGCCATCCGGATTTCTTCAGCTGCCATTTTAGAGGACGGTTCATCATTAACATCACGTTTTTTACCAACTACAAGTAGTAGTTTACCAACTACTAAGTAATAGTTGGTAAAAAAGTTCGAAATTTTGAAAATAAGATAATCATGTTTTTATTCGTAAAATATGAGTAATTATTGTCAAGATTACGAAATATTGTCATGTTTAAAATTTAATACCGTCAAAACATGGTTACGTTGTAATTAGTCTTATTTTGAAATATTAGTCTTATTTTGAAATACAGGAACTTTTTTAGTTAGTACATAATTTCTCCTATAAGTACTCTGTTATTACATAGTTGGAATGACAGAAAATTTATAAATCTAAGATATATAGTTTTATCAGTTTTAATGTTCTTTATTCTAAAAAATTTAAATATTGTTTAATTTTATTAAATTAATATACTTGTAAGAAGAAAAAAACACTAAAAAAAATTAAATTGAATAATAAATAAAGCCAAAATCTATGATAGGTTTCTATCACTCCGACGCCATATGACTCATTTTATACTACACTTTATTTTTAAGATCCCGAATTCAAAAAAAAATTGATGGATTATATACTACATCTGTTCTCTTTTAATTGAGAGATTGGAACTTTTGTACTATTCACATATTCTAATTTGATAATATTTTATTTATTAATGTATTATAAAATAAATGTTTAAAAATATTGTTAAATTCTTCTCATTTTAAATTTTCAAAATTCGATTTTTTAATTATATTTTTTTTACTAATAAGGAACGAAATATATTAATTAATATTGATCAAACTTGTACGTTAGCAATTGTGAAAAGTGGATTGTTGCAATTAAAAAAGAACGGAGGAGATATAATATTCGAATTAAATACTAGCCGACGAATAGGTTAGATATGAAAAAAATATACTCCAATTTAAACAAAACTCGGAACAGTGGCGGAGCCAGAACTCTATAGTTAAAGGGGTCTATCCTTAAAATATCAACATATTTTCTATAGATTAAACGTATTCACCGCTGACTGGGAATATTGGACTGTTATGTCCTTTTGGGTTGGTTTTGTTGGGGAATTTCGGAGGAGAGAAGATATATGGATCATATTTAAATTTAAAAGAGTTCTTAAATTTAGAAAATTTCAAATAATTAAAGTGAAGTAAAAAAAGTTTATAAAAATAGATGGCCTAACTAATTACGAAGTATTATACGTAGTATACATCAATGAAGTAAAAAATCAATTATCATCATCCCTCACCGAGTAGTCTCCGATCCTCCGAAATCCCGCAACCGAACTGGCGCTTTAACGCCGTGTCTCCTCCGTAATAACAAACCTTCCAGACTTGACGGCGAATAAAAAACGAAGAACTTGGAGAGGAAAGAAGAGGTTTGCGAGGATAGGAGAACACTTTACTGGTCAAAGACATTTTTGGCATATTTCATTTCCTTGATTCCTTCAATGGGTTTAATTTACTGCGGAGTATATTATCATCATATCATGCATGTATTTATATGGCATGGTTTGATATACTGATGTGGTTCAAAGTTCCAAACTATCCAAGCCGTTACCCATACTTCCATTGCATGGTCAGCATCGAGTTGCAAAAGAATGGAAGATACGTGGAGATTTGGGTTGGCACGTCATTTTCGGAAGTGTCAACACGTGTACGTCACATTGACCTATTTAAAATTGTCCTAAATAGGAGTAAAACCATTTGAAATTGTAAAATAGGGTTAGTATGTTTTTTATTCCCTGAAAAAAAACTGTCATGTTTTAAAATTGTCCTAAATAGGAGTAAAACCATTTGGATAAAAAATGTCATGTTTAAAGCCTAGTAATGCCAAACTTGGCAGAAATTTACTTCTATTCAGAAAATAAAAAACATGACAGTCTTATTTTGAAATTTCAAAACGTTTTTACTTCTATTTAGGAAGTTCTCTTTAACTTTCTACTTTTGGCAAACTTCACCTACTCAAATTTAAAATCAAATTAATTTGATCAGATTAGACCAAACTTCGAGAATTGTACTGAATAGACATCTATCACATCACACCACATTAGATTAGATAGGGAAACTTTATCCTATTATCTTCATTCTTTGAAGCCTATTAGTGATTTCAAATGCATCAAATGACTCGTCGAAATAAAACAATTAAACATCTTATTACCTACTCCTGCTGGTTAGCGTTAATTAAGCGTTAATATATCGTGAAATGTTATTGCAACAAGGCACTCGGCTCAACGGCTTAATTTCAAATCATATGATGTATTTATGTCTTGCGGGATCGCTAATGTAATAATTCGAGAGGTTATTTGAGTATATTCTCAATCAAATACTATCCAAGAATGGGTTTTCACTTTGGTTACGACATATTAATTTTTTATAAAAGTTTGAGGTACACTTCATGAATGGGTTTTGCACTTTGGTTAGAGGTATGAATGGGTATATAAAAGTGTTTGTGTATAATGAATTAAATGTTTGACAAATGTTTGTACATTTCAAGAATGTTTGTACACTTCAAGAATTATAATGTTTGTACACTTCGAATTAACCCTTGTACACAAACATTTTCAAGAATGAATGGGTAGATTCACTTCGTTGAGATGATGACATTCCGGCAGAGAAAATACTCTACACATATGTAGGAACCCAAACTCCCTGAACTGCAAACATGTATGTAGTTCAACCACCTGATGTGGTCTTCTAACTCATTTTCTGCAATCACTTTTAACCATTCATCTTCAAATTCTTTTGGTGTTTCTGAGTGTTTGATTATATGGTAGACTTTTTTAAAGCTACCCATGTTATTGACCGCACTCCCAACCTTTTCTGGAATTTTGTTAATAATGTGCCAAATGCAGAATCGATGAAATGTGTGAGGTAATGCAATTGTAATTTCTTTTGTCAAAGCAGGGTCCTGATAGGTTATAATCATTTTTGGGGGTGGTCCGGCATAGCCTCTAAAAATGTAGTTAAAACCCACAAGTATGACTCATATGTCTCTTTATGCATAAAAGCACAACCGAATAACACTGTTTGGAAATGATGGTTAACCCCAACAAAAGGGGTGAAAGGAAAACCATAACAGTTGGTGTTGTATGTAGAGTCTAGAACTAACACGTCTCCGAAAAAGTGAAATGATCGTCTACATGTTGGATCTGTCCAAAATGATAATTCGGTCTTCTTCTCGTGATCTTTCTTCACCTTATAAAAAATCCCTGCTTTCTTTCCTTTTCTTCCATCAAATGTTCAATGAATATTTTGGCATCTTGACCCTTTATTTTCTCCCTCTCATTTCTAATGTGGTTTCTCAAGTCTTTTTCCACAAAACCAATATCATGAAGACCTCCACATTCAGTAGCAAATGTTTTAGCAAAATTTTGGCAAGCTAAAACTAATTAAGAAGAAGATTATATGAAGAGGGGATCTCGTACAAGAACAAATAAGGAAGATGACAAGTGAGTGAATAAGAGTGAAAACTTGTGTATTATTCGAATGTTCAGCTGGCTGATTACAATGAGGGATATCCTATTTATAGGAATGGTAATTAATGCTCTCTTGATGGCTTTGTACGTTACTGACAGGTTGACCGTCCGTTACTGACGGGTTGGCCGTACTTTATGACGAATTCAAATCTGCCATGAAGGCTGGTCAATTATACTTAATACCTTCCTTAATCACATTAAAGAGCCTAATAATGTACAGAAAACGTTACAATATTAATGAATGAGAGTCTTGGACGCTTGATTGACTCCAATTGTCCGTTATTGGCGGTTTGACGTGACGGTTCCGACCTGTCGGTTTCACAACTCGTCGTTAATGTTGGCCTGCTCAAAATGGGCAACCTCTTGCCTTAATATCGTTACTAATTGCAATAATAAACACAAATCCGTTACAACAGCCACCATTAAGCCTCATGAACATATCATTAACATCCGTGGTTAACCCTCTTTAATGCAATATAAACCGTCAAATTCTTGCTCTAACACTTGCCCCCTTTAGAGAAGTTGACGCATACGATGCACGGGTCGGACTGTTAAGCGGCAATTTGTCGAAACTTTCCAGAGAGCTTTGTATCCTGATTCATTACGCCCATTGACTTGCCAACGACTTGTCATGACGTATTAATCAACTCGTCTGACGAAATGCTTCCGTCTTCCTTTGGAATAAAATTCGATCGAGTTTGTCTCCTTAACTAAAACAACGGAAACTGAAAGCTGATGATAAGTCCGTATTTAAACACGCATTTGATGCGTGTATGGGTCGGATTTTGATGATTTTCTTGGCTTTAAGGCGTTGCAAGTCTCAATTTTGGCTCAAGTTGTCTTTAGCAGGCGTTGGATCGAGTTTCATTGCATTTGGAGTTGATTTGAAGAAGTTAGAGTCCGGCAATCGGCGCTAAAGAGACAATCGGGAGGAGCTAGAGAACATTCAAGCAAGAATTGAGAGATTTGGAGGTCACCAGGTGATTCACGGCGAAATTTTGATGAAGAAAGAGCATTTGGATCGACCTCGTTTGCATCCGGGCGCGTTTAGAGCAAGAAAACAAGAAATTGGAGCGAAAAAGTCAGACGCACGGTCGTGCGTCTGGGACGCACGATTGTGCGTCCATTACGAAAATGCGGTGATGCTTCTGCCTGCTACGCACGATCGTGCGTAGGCAGGGACGCACGATCGTGTGTAGCTCCGTGTTACGCGTGAAAAAGTCCTAACTCGGCCAGAATTGGTTTTTTTCCCCTCCTTTTCTATAAATAAGGCCTCCCTAACCCTTTTGAGGGGTTACGAACATTACGGAGAGGCCTAGGGACGAATTTAACACCGTTTTTATGCTATTTTCTTCCAAGACCCTGGGATTATTTGTAAGTTCATCTTTTTAATTAATGACAATTTATTCTATTCATCTCAATTCTGTTGATTCTTCAATTATGAATTGTGAGTAGTTTAATTAGGGATTTGGGGTTGATGAAGGGGTTAATCATGATGTATGGCTAGATTCTTGTCGGTTTAATTGCATGAATGCCGTTTAATTTGTGTTTGAATAATTTAATTGATATCTCTTGTAACCTAGACTGCAGCTAGAATTACAATTGCATGTAGAATGAATTAAGAGAGATCTAACTTGTTCTAGGACCACACACTTAATCGTTCGCTAAGAGATTAGCAGCGATTAAGGGGCCGTAAGCTCGCTCGTCTTGGCAATAATTTAGGATCTTGTCGCATGAGAGATCAGCCTGGTCCCCTAAATTATTGTACTCTACGCCGCGAGAGCGGTAAGAACTTAGTAATGATTAGCTAGACTCAATTAAATTAAATTCATGTAATTAGGCCTGATCTGCCAGAAATCTGGTTACCCCGGAATCAATCCCTGTTCCCTTCGTCGTTAATTGAGAAGAAACCAATCTTTTATTTTTATTGCTCATTAGCATTAGTTTTAATTTTAATTCAACCAACCAATCTCGCACATCGCATTTTAATTTATTTATTTCTGTTTAATCGCTGAATTTAGTTAATCGTTAATTCCCTTTTGTCCGTCCCTGTGGAGACGATACTAGTACTTTCAACCACTTTTCTACAACTATTTTAAGTGCGAGAAAACTCACATCAGCTGACATGTTTTCTTCTCCCTCCAAAATTGCCTTGACGACTAGATGACATAAATTTGCATCTTCTTTCATATTGATGTCGACAGTTCAGCTGTCAAAGGGAACATCATCTGTCGTTAAAGATGACGAGATGGGTTGTTATGTTTGTCATTCGTACTACTCCTTATGTTGGAGCATGTGCTTCTGTTGTGTAGTTATGTATTTTTTGTTGTACATGTGTTGTCATATATGTTTTGGTTGCACGTGCGTTGTCATATATGTTTTAGTCGCACATGCATTGTCATATATGTTTTGGTTGCACGTGCGTTGTCATATACGTGTGTAAGTTTTGGCTAAAACGCATTGTATGGGCTCCCTTAGGACTGTGATCCATGATTTCTCATGGGCAGCCTAACCCTTCCCATTAAATTCTGTAAGCCCCCCGTCAATTGTGTTTTGACGTGTTTTAAGGCTTTGTTTGATGTATATTAGCATATCAGCTCGTCAATTATCAACTGTTCCTGTGCAAAAAAGAATTCGTTAACGTCGATTGTTGGTTAGAAGCCAACGGTCCTCCGATGCTCAAGTTAGTGATCGATCATATGTGAATGAAAGTAATAAATTAAGAATACATATATGAAATATAATATAAATCTATCGTTAGAACCTTTCCATGGCTAGACGGTTTCATTCATCTCGTCAGGTCCATCACGTCATGAGAGTGACTCGTCACGGCAGTGACTCGTGACGGAAGTGACTCATCACGGAAGTGATGACAATATGTAAGAGAAAGTAATAAACTAAAAATGAAACAACTTTAAGGGTACCGTATTGCATGTCTTTTATTAGAACTTTTCCGTCATCGGATTACTGGCCACCCGTCCAACGATTTCAATCATCTT